TGTTTATTGGTTTTAATATTTTTTCATGGATTTATAGGATATCTGTATATAAGATTGTATTATCTGTGAATGGATAATTTTACTTCTTTCTTTGGATGCCTTTTATTTCATTTTCTTGCTTAATTGCCCTGGTTAGAACTCTGAATACAATGTGGAATAGAAGCAGTGATTGCAGGTATCCTTGTCTCATTCCTCATCAGTAATCTTTGTCTTGTTCCTAATCTTAAAGGGAAATCATTTAGTCCTTCACCATGACGTATGATGTTAGGTGTGAGTCTTTTATAGATCTCCTTTATCAGTTTGAGGAGGTTTGCTTTTATTCCTATTTTATTGAGTGTTTTCATCATGATAAAAGGGGTGTTAGATTTTGTCAAATGCTTTTTCTGCATCTGTTGAGGTGATCATGTGGTTTTGTCCTATTTTGATAGGTTGTTTTGTAGTAACTTTTTTATGTTAGACCAGCCTTATGCAGTGAGATAGATATTATGTGATATTACTTTTTTGTGCTACTGGATTCAGTTTGCTAGTACTTTGTTGGAAATTGTTGTATCTATATTCATAAGACATATTGGTCTCTGTTTTCTTGTGATGTCCTTGTCTAGTTTTGGTATCATGGTAATACTGACCTTGCAGAATGAGTTGAGACGTGCTTCGTTCTTTTCTACTTTTTTGGAAGTTTGTGAATGATTTGTATCAAGTTTTCCTTGGATTTTTGATAGACTTCACCAGTGAAGCCATCTGGACCTGGGCGTATCTTGTGGACACTTTTTGATTAATAATTAAATTCATTTGTTGGACCTATTCAGGTTGCCTATTTTCTTAAGTCAGTTATAGTAGTTTTTGTTTTTAGGAATTTGCCTATTTCATGTATGTCATCTAATTTATGGATTTACAGTTGCTTACAGTATTCCTTTATCCATCTTTCTATAAGACTAATAGTAATATCCTCTTTTTTTTTTTTTTTTTTTTTTTTTTCCATTCTTGGTTTTAGTAGTTTGAGCAGTCTGGTAAAGGTTTTTCAGTTTTGTTGGTCTTTTCCCAGAACTAACTTTTGCTTTTCTTTTTCTCCTTTGTTTTTATACTCTATTTAATTCTGCTTTAATCTTCATTGTTTTCTTTTCATCTGCTTGCTTTAGTTTTTATTTTGCTGCCCCCCCAACCCTGTATCTTAAGATGGAAGTTTAAGTTATTGATTTGAATCTTTTTTCTTTTTAAATACCATCATTTATAACTATAAATGTCCCACTAAACCCTGCTTTAGCTGCATTCTATAAATTTTGGTATATTATGTCTTCATTTTTACTCCTTTCAAAGTATTTTCCAATTTCCCTTGTGATTTCTTCATTGACCAACTGATTACTTAGAAGTAATTAATTTCTAAATATTTGTGAATTCCCTCAATTTCTTTTTGTTACTGATTTCAAATTTCATTCCATTGTAGTTGGAGACTATACATTGTATGATTTTAGTCTTTTTAAATTTATTGGAGCTTATTTTATGTCCTAACATTGAGAATGTTCCATGTGCACTTATGGAGAATGCTGTTGTTGGGTGGAGTATTCTATGGATGTGTTTGGTTGGTTGGTTTGTAGTATTGATCAAGTGTTTGATTTCCTTGTTGATTTCTATATAGTTGTCTATCTGATGTGCAAAGTGGGGTATTGAAATCTCTCAACTATTATCATTGAATTTCTGTTTTTCACTTCACTTACGTCAGCTTTTGCTTTGTATATTTTGGGCTTTGTTTTTGGGTACATATTAATATTCCTGACCCATTGGGTGTTACATCAGTTATAAAATGCCCCTCTTTATCTCTAGTAACATACTTAGTCTATTTTGTCTAATATTGGTCTGACCACTCTAGTTTTCTTATGGTTGCTGTTGTATATCTTTTTTTTTTTCTTAAGTTGATTTATTTTGAGAAAGAGAATATGAGCAGGGGGGAGGAGCAGAGAGAGAGAGAGAGAGAGAGAGAGAGAGAGAGAGAATTCCAAGAATTCCACTATCCGTGCAGAGCCTGATATGGGACTCGAACTCACGAACCATGAGGTCATGACTTGAGCCGAAATCATGACAATATAAATGTATGTTAATTCTGCTTTCTTCTCTTAATTTAAAAAATTGTTTAAAAACCAGTTGTATAGAACAGTATGTATATATTGTTGGGCCTATACCATTAAAATAATATATTTGTGAATAACAACAGAAAGTGAGTAGGAGTAAAGTTGTATTGCACTAAGGAAATTACCTTAGATGAAATCTCAAATCCATAGGAACAAATGAAGAAAACCAGAAATGGCGAATGCAAAAGTAATGAAACAAATGCTACAAATACATCCTTTGCTCCTTTCTTCTGTCAGTTTCTTTAAAAACCATACAGTTACATTATGTGATAATAACAAGGTATTGTTGGGTTTCTAATATATCTAGATACAATATATAGAACAATAATAGCACAAAAATAAAAGTGAGAGGAAAATGAGCTAAACAGGAGAAATGTTTCTATATCTCACCCAAATAAGTTAATACAGACATGAAATAAATTCTAATACGATATATATTGCAAACTCTATTGTAGCCTATAGAACCTCTAAATATATGTATTGAAAAATTATAAAGAAATTTAAGTGTTACACTAGAAAATATTCACTTAATGCAGATGAAATCAGGGGAAAAAAAGAGAGAAACAAAAAGGAGAGGAAATATACAGAAACAAAAATAAATGGCACACCTAAACCCAACTATATATCATGCAATGTGAATGGTCTAAATAATTCAATCAAAAGGCAAAAATGTCTGGGCTCCTGGTGGCTCACTCAGCCACTATTTCTTTGAATGTTTTTCTGTTTCTTTACCTCTCTCTCTTTATGTTTCTCTTGTTCTCCTTCTCTGGTACTCATATTATGCCCATGTTGTGGTGCCTATCAGTGTTCCACATTTCTCTGAGGCTCTGTTCATTTTTCTTTATTCTTTTTTCCTCTCCTTTCTTTGGATTTAATAATCTGTTGATCTATCTTTAAGTTCACTGATCTTTCTTCTACTTACTCAGTTTCACTGTCAAACCCCTCTAGTGAATTTTTTGTTATTGTGTTTTTTAACTACAGAAGTTATTTTTTATGGTACCTATCTCTCTAGGGATAGTCTCTTTTTGGTGATCTCATCATACCTTCCTTTGCTTCTTTTTTTTTTTTTCCAACTTTTTTTATTTTTTATTTATTTTTATTTTTGGGACAGAGAGAGACAGAGCATGAACGGGGGAGGGGCAGAGAGAGAGGGAGACACAGAATCGGAAACAGGCTCCAGGCTCTGAGCCATCAGCCCAGAGCCTGATGCGGGGCTCGAACTCACGGACCGCGAGATCGTGACCTGGCTGAAGTCGGACGCTTAACCGACTGCGCCACCCAGGCACCCCTTCTATTTTGTTTCTTAAATCCACATATGAGTGAAATCTAATGGTATCTGTCTTTCTCTGACTGACTTATTTCACTTAGCATCCATCCTCTCTAGCTGCATTCACATCATTGAGAATGGCAGGATTTCATTCTTCCAGCCTCTATGTTCTTAAGCATTATTCTTTATTGCTTTGGATGGGGCAATTTGAAATTTTAACCCTCGAGAATTACAATATCAGTAAGAATAATAAACACTTTATCTGTCTAATTTTCAGCAAATGAGATTTTATCTGCACTCTTTTTACAAAGGGGTATATAAAAGTTGAAGATTTAGCTGCAATTTTTAATTTACCTTTTTTTAACATTTCATCATTCTAGTCTTCATCATTAATCAGGGTTTTTAATTTCTTTCCCATTTTTTTACCCTTGTCTTTTCTAATATATGCTTGTCTAATATATGCTCCAGTCTTTCTAAAGTGGGAAATTTTGGTGTACATTTTAATTCACTTATTGGGACTGTTACCAAAGGAATTTTCTTTTTTTAAAATTTTTTTTTTTCAACGTTTATTTATTTTTGGGACAGAGAGAGACAGAGCATGAATGGGGGAGGGGCAGAGAGAGAGGGAGACACAGAATCGGAAACAGGCTCCAGGCTCCGAGCCATCGACCCAGAGCCCAACGCGGGGCTCGAACTCACGGACTGTGAGATCGAGACCTGGCTGAAGTCGGACGCTTAACCGACTGCGCCACCCAGGCGCCCCCCAAAGGAATTTTCTTGAAGGAGATTGCAACCTGAACTTTTTGGGTTGTATGCCTTAGTATACAAGTATTTCAACTAAAGTGATGGTGCATTGTTCAGTTTTCTGCATGAATTATAAATACTCTTGTCTTCTGATCCCCCTAAACTTGACTCCTGTTCTGTTACTTTCAGTGTTTGTTTTAAAATAAGATTGTTGCTTTATCTCAATATAGTTGTCTAAGTTTTTAACTGCCTGACTTGTGATTTCTTGTATTAAACTTTTTATCCTGCAGGTGGCGCTAGAATCACACCTCATTTCAATAGAGGGTAGAATAACCAAAATTCTTTTCACTGTGAAAGTAAAATATCACAGTTTGTAATATTTATTATGTTTAATAGTCTAATAAAAGTAGCTTATCTGAATACAATATGATCAATAGATCTCTCTATACTTAAGCAGAAAATAATAGAATAGGAAATCCTATATTTTCATATAAAGACTATTTCAAATTCTTTTTAGAGAAGTATTAATAATGTTTTTTGAGGACCATATGCTTGGTACTATTTTTCACAAACAACCCTAGGAGAGTAGGTAGGTGTCTATTTTTTTATAGACAGGAGTCAAGGGATTACTTGCTTGAGGACAACACTCAGTAGATGTCAATGAAAAGTAGGTAGGTAGATGAGAATGAAACCCAGATCTGTTAAAGTCCAGAGCTCTTACAGCAGTGTGCCATTGCCTTACACTAGTAGAACGTAACATGAAAGCAAAGATGTCAAGATCCATTTGTAGTCTCATAAGTGTGAAATGAGGCACCAGCTGTGATATATATATTATAGTAAATGTATCTAAGTATACACTACTCTTAATTTCAGTCTGTGGCTGTGCCAACAGCCAGTGTTGTCACAGTTACTCCTGGAAAGCCCTTGAATTCTGTAACTACCCTGAAGCCTTCAAATTTGGGAGCATCACCTGCCCTCTCAAATGATCCCAGTCTCAAAGCAGAGAACTCAGCAGCTGCTCAGGCAAATCTTTCTCCGGTAAGCTCTCACTTCTACCTTATGTGAGTACAGCTCTTTACAGATTTTCTTGAATTCTGTTTTTAGCTAACATTTGTGTTTTATGTATATTTCTTTACTTAGGCGATGCTAGAAAATGTGAAGAAGTGTAAGAACTTCCTTGCCATGTTAATAAAACTAGCGTGTAGTGGATCACAGTCCCCAGAAATGGGGCAGAATGTGAAGAAACTGGTGGAACAACTTTTGGTAAGTTAGTATTATGAAAAAGTGAAAATTCTGTGAGAATTCTTAGAACATGTTTTAAATGGGATGTATCTTTAAGTGAGGTTTATGTTAGATGGATTTTTTTGACAAGCTATGGTTTTTTTTTGTTTTTTTGTTTGTTTTTTTTTTAAGTTTATTTTGGGAGAAAGAAAGCACGCAGGGGTTAGGGACAGAGAGAGAGAGAGAGAGAGAGAGAGAGGGAGAGAATCTCAAGCAGACCACAGAGCTCAAGGTGGGACTCGAACCCATGAACTGTGAGATCATGACCTGAGCCAAAGTCAAGAGCCAGATGTTTAATGAACTGAACCCGCCAGGTGCTTCTGCTTTTGCTTTTTAAGAGCTTTATAATGATAATAAATCTAAGACAAGTAAATCTATTGTATATTATTTTCTGTATGCCTTAACCTAAAAAAAGACCTTGGAGAGAAGGTTGACTATTTGGCCAAGTAAAAAATTGTTACTAGAATTGCAAATGTCAGAAAGCCAGTCTGTAAGTTCAAACAACAAACTTTGTAACCCATGGAAGTAAGTTAATCTTAAGTCTGCCTTTCCTTCTCTTAAAATGAGAAGAGTAATAAATGTGATGACCTTTAGGGCGCCTGGGTGGCTCAGTCAGTTGGGTGTCCAACTCTTGATTTCAGTTCAGGTCATGATCTCACAGTTCGTGAGATCGAGCTCTACGTTGGGCTCTGTGCTAACAGTGGGGAGCCTGCTTGGGATTCTTTGTCTCCTTCTCTCTCTCTCTTGCCCCTCCCCAACTTGTGTGCACTCTCTGTCTCTCTCTCTCAAAATAAATAAGTAAACATTTAAACAAAATATGATGATGTTTGACTTACAAGTTCCAAGATGCTGTATTTTTTAGCTGTCAAATTATATGTCATTCATTTTTATATCTTTCAGATAAAATGCTTACATACATTAAAGCAGATGAAAGTGGAAATGAGCAAATATTACATATTATATGCTTAAGAAATATGCTGATGATATAACAGACAAATACAATTTTGAATTTTTTGAACTACTAAAATCTACAGGTTTCTCTGACCATACAATGAGAATTTTGTGTATTTTTTGTATAAAAATGGTCACTTTTTCCTAGCAGAAGATGTTTATGTTTCAAATATTACAGGAAAACAAGTATACTTTATAAATATTAGAATACCTCCTTTACTACTCTTTTTTATGCTACCTATAATTTGTTAGAAATAGAGCACATTTGAAACGGTTAGTTTTCTGCTTGGGAAAACTATTTTAGATACTTAAAATTGTAAGTCCTACAAACAAATTTTTAACTTAACTTTCAAGCATTTTTAAAAATTAAAATTAACTTAAATTTTTAATTTTTGATTTAAATGTAGTTGACATATTATTTTCAAGTATACAGCATAGTGAGTTGACAATTACATACATTACAGAATGTTTACCACAGTAAGTGTGGTTACCATCTGTCACCAGAAAGTTATTGCAGTATTATTCGTTATATTTCCTGTGCTGTACTTTCCATCCCTCTGACTTGCTTATTTTATAACTGGAAGTTTGCCCTTCCTAAGTCCCTTCAGCTATTTTGCCTATTTTCTCCTCCCCAGTTTCTTCTCTGTATTTGGGTTTGTTTCTCTTTGTATTATTTTTTAGATTTCATATATAAGTGAAATCTTACAGTATTTGTCTTTCTCCTGTCTGACTTACTTCAGTTAGCATAATACCCTCTAGGTCCATCCATGTTGTGAATGGCAAGATCTCATTCTGTTTTATGGCTGAGTAATATTCCATTGTATGTATATACCGCATCTTTTTTATCCAATCATCTGTCTAATGATGGACATTTAGGTTGCTTTTATATCTTGGATATTGTAAACAGTGCTGCAGTAAACACAGTGGTGCATATATTTTTCAGAGTAGTGTTTTTGTTTTCTTTGGGTAAATACCCAGAAGTGGATCATGTGTTATTTTAATTTTTAAATTTTTGAGAAATCTTCATACTGTTTTCCATAACAATTGTACCAATTTACATTCCTTCCAATAGTGCATAAGGGTTTCCTTTTCTCCACATCCTTGCCAACACTTATTACTTCTTGTTTTTTTGATATTAGCCATTTTGATTGGTGTGAGGTAATATCTCATTGTGTTTTTGATTTGCATTTCCCTGATGATTAGTGATATTGACCATCTATTCATATGTCTGTTTGCCATCCTAAGTCTTCTTTGGAAAAATGTCTATTTAGGTCCTCTTGTCTATTTTTAATCAGATGATTTTTTTTTTTTTTTTTTTTTTGGTATTAAGTTGTATGAATTCTTTATATATTTTGGATATTAACCCCTTATCAGGTATGTCATTTGCACATTATCTTCTCCCTATTCAGGAAGTTGCCTTTTTGTTTTGTTAATGGTTTCCTTTGCTCTGCAAAAGCTTTTTAGTTTGATATAGTCTCAGTAGTTTATTTGTGCTTTTATTTCCTTTGCCTGAGAAGACATATACAGAAAAATATTGCTAAGGCTGATGTCCAAGAGTTTACTGCCTGTGTTTTCTTCTGGAGTTTTATGGTTCTAGGTCTCACATTTAGGTCTTTAATCCATTTTGAATTTATTTTTGTATATGGTTTAACAAAATGGTCCAGTTTCATTCTTTTGTATGTAGCTGTCCAGTTTTCCCAACACTATTGAAGAGACTGTCTTTTCCCCATTGTATATTTTCACCTCATTGTCATAGATTAATTGACCATATACACATAGGTTTATTTCTTGGCTGTCTACTCTATTCCATTGATCTGTACGTCTGTTTTTGTGTCAATACCATACTGTTTGGATTACTATAGTTTTGTAGGATAGTTTGAAATTTGGGATTGTGATAACCTCCAGCTTTTTTCTTTCTTAAAATTGGCTGTTCAGGGTCTTTTGTGGTTCCACACAGATTTTAGGATTATTTGTTCTAGTTCTATGAAAAATGCTGTTGGTATTTTGATAGGAATTGTATTCAATCTGTAGATTGCTTTGGGTAGTATAAACATGTTAACAATATTAATTCTTCCAATCCCATGAGCATGGTATATGTTTCCATTTTTTTTGTGTCCTCTTCAATTTCTTTCATTAACATCTTCTAGTTTTCAGAATACAGGTAGGTCTTTTACCTCCTTACATCAATCATGAATTACATACCTTTTCTCTTTTAAAATATTTGTAAACATAAAAGTATTCTTCTTTCTTCTGTTCCTCAGGATGCAAAAATTGAAGCAGAAGAATTTACTAGACAACTGTATGTTGAACTCAAGTCTTCACCTCAGCCTCACCTAGTTCCTTTTCTTAAGGTAAAGTTGTCTGTTACTTTGAAGAAATTATTTGGATTAGATTATTTAAAATAATTTTTAAAAAATAATTGAAAACCTGAATATTTCAATATGAGAGCAGTTTAATGTGAAAATACTAACAATGTAGGAGAGGGCTCTGAACTGTTGTCATCTGTTAACATTCATAGTCCATATTCTTTGGATTGGAACACTTTGAGAAAACAGAAGTAACACCTCATTCATGAACAAAACTTAATGATTATATTGTTAAAGCTTATATCCTCAAATATCTTGACTTTTCCATTAAAATAGGGCCTTCTGCTTTGTCCTAATAACTCATATTGTCTTAGAAATAAAAAAAATCTCATCGTGACAAATTTAGTGGGAGAGCTGTTATTTTTAAAAAACTGTTACTAGGCATACTCCTTTTGACGATTTGTTGAATTAAATAGAATTTTGATGTAGAACAGTAACTTTGATAACAAGAGACTATAAAAATTATTTTTTTTGGATATTCAGAAGCTGAAGAGGAATCTAATTGAAATTTATACAGTTATTAAAGACCTGGGATTATAGTGAACCACAGAGTCATCCCATAAATTTTGAAATAATGGAAGACAATTTGACTTAATTGTGTAGGGAGATGAAAGAGGTGCCACAGTGGAAGACTCCTTTTGGTTGCCTCATACAAGAAGAGTTGGAAGGAAAATGGGGCACCTCTTCATAAGGATATTAAAATAGTGGAAACTGTCACTAGAAGGGTGAGCACATTGATTAGGAGGATGCCAATCATGTGATATGAATTGTGGCTATAGCAACAGAATGTTTTAGCTAAAGGAGACTTGGTCTGGGGAAAGGCAAGTTGCAGGTTCAGCAAAATACCTAATAATATCAAATAACTACTGCCCTGCTTTTTGGATGACCTTCTTGATTGAGAAGTTAGAGGCAGTTCTTCCTTGGGTCCCTTTCAATGCCTAAAGTTCTGTGAGCTATAGGTGTCTATATGACACTGACAACTCTTGAATTTATCTGTATTTCATACTCCCTGGAGACACCATGGGGGAGAAGGAAGATAATCAGTAGGCTTCTATTATGTATCCTATGCTTTGCTAGATACTTTTTATTTTTATTTCTTATTTTATTTTTATTTTTTGATTTTTAATATTTATTTTTGAGACAGAGACAGAGCATGAACAGGGGAGGGTCAGAGAGAGAGGGAGACACAGAATCCGAAGCAGCCTCCAGGCTCTGAGCTGTCAGCACAGAGCCCGACGCGGGGCTCGAACTCACGGACCGTGAGATCATGACCTGAGCCAAAGTCAGACGCTTAACCGACTGAGCCACCCAGGCGCCCATGCTAGATGCTTTTTAAATTTGCATTGTTTGTGCTTAATTTTCATATCAGTCTTTTGAGAATACTAGGTGCTAGATTTTATAGTAGTTTCCATTTTGGAGATGAAAAAAACTTTAAATTGACTAATTTTTTTATCAAGCTCACAAGTCCAGAATTTATTCTACCTGACTATTTGTTTGATAATACTAACATTAAGTTGCCAAATGTTACACTAGGAAGTATTTGTGCTTTGTATGTATTTTTTTAAGTTTATTTATTTATTAAAAAAATTTTTTAACACTTATTTTTTATTTTTGATTCAGAGAGAGACAGAGGACAAATGGGGGAGGGTCAGAGAGAGAGGGAGACACAGAATCTGAAACAGGCTCCAGGCTCTGAGCTGTCAGCACACAGCCCGAAGGGGGGCTCGAACTCACGGACCGCGAGATCATGACCTGAGCGGAAGTTGGACACCCAACTGACTGAGCCACCCAGGCGCCCCAAGTTTATTTTTGAGAGAGAGAGAGTGTGAGCATGTGCATGTGTGAGAACCACAAGAAGGCTCCATGCTGTCAGCACAGAGCCCAGCATGGGACTCAGTCTCACAAACGGTGAGATTGGGACCTGAGCTGAAATCAAGGGCCAGAAGCTTAACCAACTGAATCACCCAGGCATCCCTTTATGTGGGTTTTTTTTTTGTTTTGTTTTTTTTTAACGTATCATCCACAATGGATTGCAACTTTAAATTTTTTTTTTTCAACGTTTATTTATTTTTGGGACAGAGAGTGACAGAGCATGAACGGGGGAGGGGCAGAGAGAGAGGGAGACAGGGGATCAGAAACAGGCTCCAGGCTCCGAGCCATCAGCCCAGAGCCCGACGCGGGGCTCGAACTCACGGACTGCGAGATCGTGACCTGGCTGAAGTCGGACGCTTAACCGACTGCGCCACCCAGGCGCCCCCCTTTATGTGTTTTTTAAGGATCTATTAAGCTTTGTGATTTTTTTTTTTTTTGGTGAGAATTTTTTTCTCATTTTTGAAAGCTTTTGGACATTGAATGTGGCATAGAGATGCCACATTTAAACTTAACTCTGGCCAGCTGATCAAGAGATAATTTAGACATATTTTTTATTATCTCTTTGAGTCTCATTAATTAATTTATGTATTAAAAATTTTTTTTTAATGTTTATTCAGTTTTCAGAGACAGAGCATGAGTGGGGGAGGGGCAGAGAGAGGGAGACAGAATCTGAAGCAGGCTCCAGGCTCTGAGCTGTCAGCACAGAGCCCGACGCTGGGCTCCAAGTCACGAACTGTGAGATTGTGACCTGAGCTGAAGTCGGACGCTCAACTGATTGGGCCACCCAGGTGCCCCTGAGTCTCATTATTTTAACATTTTTTTTCAATTGTGTTTTTCTCAGGATCCCCTCATGTTAGAATTCTAGCTTAAATTTAATCAGATCACTTCATCTGTTCATGTTTCCAAAGCAGCTTGCTTTTAAAGTTTGGAAAAAGATTATGAGAGATTGTTTCTTACTTTCTTTTGTTACCATTTATATACATATTTGAAAACCTTCAGAGAGCTTTTCAATCCTTTTTAATAAAAAAAAAAGTAAAGGAAGTAACTATAAGAAAAGGAAGAACAATGGTTCTCATTTGCTTCTTAAATAAAGGCAGTCTGACTGAATTTAAATGTCAAAACAAGGAAACCTTCCAAACAGCCCTTGAATTCACCAAAAGATAACCTACTATCTTGCCTCCTTTTCCATTTTTTTTTTTCTTAAAAACAAAATCCCCAGGGACAAAAAGAATGTTCTACTTTTTAGTTTGAACACCCTTTACTCTTTTAGAAGGGTGTAAGGGACACCAATGTAAAATCCTGTCAAAATATTCTAGCTTGGGGAACCTAAGGGGCTCAGTCAGTTAAGTGTCCCACTTTTGATTTTGGCTCAGATCATGAGATTGAGCCCTGAGTTGGGCTCCATGCTGAGTGTGGAGCCTGCTTAAGATTGTCTCTCTCCCCCACATCCCCCCCAAAAGACTCTCTCCCTCCCTCTCCCTCGGCTTCCCCCCCCCCCCCCCCGCATGCATGCACTTGCATTCTATCTCAAATAAATAACACAAATGAATAAACAGACAAATAGTTAAATAAATAAATGAAAATATTCTAGCTCAATTAAGGAAATTGACCTTGTTTGTATTAGTTTTATTTTTGTTTTTTCTTGTATTACTTTTATTTTGATTTAAGACTGTCTATCCAAAGCTTGAAAGTTGTTTACCAAAACCTTTTTTTTGATAGATTCTATTGTTATAAAACAAACTTATAGATACTAAGATTATTAGTGGTCTATTATGGGGTATAGGTAAATATAAACAAGTATACACAGTGTTTTTATTTTACTAAATTGATATTGAGGTATACAAAATAAGTTTAATATTGGGAGATAATTTCCTGTTGAAAAATAAAGCACTTTGGGGCTTTAAATTGACTGTATCCTGGATTTTGACAGGATATGAATATGAAGTGATACCAGATTTCCTCAACTGAAACACCTGATATACTTTTGATTTGTTTTATGTTGTAAAGCTATGAAAAATACAAAGCTATGAAGTACTAAATCCTTTAGTTTTACTAGCAGTTGATTTATTTAATCAGGTTCTTTTTTCTCCCCTGTTTCTAGAAAAGTGTGATTGCCTTACGACAACTCATGCCCAACTCCCAGAGCTTTATTCAGCAGTGTGTTCAGCAGACCTGTAGTGAGGTTGTCATTGCTACCTGTACCACAACAGCAGCCACTTCTCCCGTGGTGACAACAACAGTTTGCTCCATCCAGCCTGAAAAACCCATCATTGTTTCTGGAACAACAACAGCCAGCACCGTGTCAGTGCCAGCTCTGAATCCACTTGCTGGCCCAGGGGGAGCAAAACCAGGAGTTGTGACACTTCATTCTCTGGGTCCCCCTGCTGCACCAGGAGGAACAGCAGCTGGAACGGTTTTGCTTCAGACTCCAAAACCACTGGTGACATCTATACAGAACACAGTCACAGCAGTCTCCCTCCCACCTGAGAAGCCAGCTGTCTCTGGGGCAGCAGTCACGCTGGCTCTCCCTGCGGTGACTTTCGGAGAACCTTCGGCAGCAGCTGTCTGTCTTCCGTCTGTGAAACCTGTCATGACCTCTGCTGGGACCACATCTGACAAGCCTGTCATTGCTCCAGTCCAGATAAAACTTGCACCACCAGGCCCCGTCCTTTCTCAGCCGGCTGGTATTCCACAGGCAGTTAAAGTCAAACAACTAGTGAGTAAAGTTCATTTCTTCCTCAGTTTCTTCTTTTGAAAATTTCAAACATTCAGAAAACTGGCAAGGCTAGTAAAACAAGCCCCTGAGTATCCTTGACTGGCCTCACACTTATTACCGTATGTGGAAAGTTAGTATTGGTACAGTTATTTTCCTAGTTGTGCCAACAGTGTCCTTTACAGCTACTTTTTTTCTGATAGAGAATTGCCTGTTGCATTCACCTGTCTTTTCTCTTTAGGCTCCTTTAATCCAGAACAGCTCCCCAGCCTTTCATGGTTGCTCATTATCTTGTAATAGTTTAAGTGCCCAGGCTAGTTGTTTTGCAGAATGTCCTTTGTTATGTCTAATTGTTTCCTCAAGTTAAGATTCAGACTAAATATTTTTGACAAGATTATTACAGAGGTAATGTTATGGTAACAGTTCTCAAGAAAAATATGCTAAGAGGGGAGGGAAACGGTGAGGGGAATAGATGAGTATGAAGCTGTGTTTTTTCCTAAACTTGGTAGGTTAGGAGGTTCTTGGATGAAAGAAACCTTAGCTGTTTATCAATTAGTGTTGTTAACACTTAGAAATAAAACTGTCAGTTATTTTACCAGTTTATTTGGGAATAGCAGAGTATTAGATTCAGGACAAGCAAGCTGTGGCAAAATCACAGGCACATCTAGAGAACAGAAGAGAATGGCCTTGTATAGAGGAAAGGAGGAAGTTGGAAAAGGCTGTTATAATCAAAAGTCCTTTGGAGTAAACACAGTTCGATGTGTAGTAGCTTCTCCTTGGCGGAGTTGTGACAGTCTCTCTCATCGGCTGGGCTGTTGCTGGGCAAGATGAAAATCTTTCTTCCTCCTGCAGTCGTAGTAAAGGATAGGTTTCTTCCTGTTCAGAATGCAAGGTACCTCTCTTTGTGTTGGGGTCTGCAGCTGATGACTAGTTGTAGGGTGTGAGAGGTTCCCCTTTTGGCTTCCTGGCTCATTTTCATGGGGCTTCCCCTTATTTTCAGTGTTTAGAACATTTTAGTTGATTCAAGACAGATGGTGAGAGTATTGTTAAGAACCTGTGGGAGATAGTACATGGTGAGTTAAGAATCACGTTTCTTGGGGTGCCTGGGTGGCTCAGCCGGTTGAGCGTCTGACTTCGGCTCAGGTCGTGATCTCAAGGCTTGTGAGTTTGAGCCCCACATTGGGCTCTGTGCTGACAGACAGCTCAGAGCCTCGATCCTGTTTCAGATTGTGTGTCTCCTCTCTCTCTGCCCCTCCCCCACTCATGCTCTTTGTGTCTCTCTCTAAAATAAACATTAAAAAAATAAATAAAATAAAAATTATTTTTCTTTTTGCTTACCTTATACTGTAATACCTGTTACACTAGCTGTTCTAGTATAGTTTTGGTAGTTGCCCTTGTTTTCTTTTATAAATCTTTTTGTTAAAGGCTGTGTGTTGAATCTCTTTGTTTTAGTTTTTATTCTGCTTCTAGGAATAATAAAATCCAAGTAAACTTACTAGCCTTGTTTATGTGATCAGGAGCAGAGGTTAGTATCTGTGGATGATTGTTTTTGAGGCAGAAGGTAGCAATGGGTGTAAGATGAAAGAAGGAAGATCAATATGGACAATTACTTCCTACCTGAGTAGGTAGGAAGTAATAGCCATTTCCTGGGTACTAATCTTTTTTTCATCCCTTCCTACTCAGGGTCTGATTTTCAAATAAAGAAATGTGCCTGCCTTGCAGGGTTTCTCTTGGGTTGTCTGAATTTAATCTCAGACTTGAAACCTTTTTAGAAGCAGTGATTCTTAAACATCAGTCTGAGCAGCCAGCTTTGGGAACCACTGAAACAGAGTAATTGCCTCAAGGAAAGGCCTGTTTTTGGTAGCACTGAACAGAATTGAAATCCTCTTTACAGGTCATAAGTGATTCTTGAATCAGTGCTAATCTTTATTGAACATTTATACTATTATTAGTTCCTGAAGTGAAATAACACTTTATAGCTATGTAGAATTTTAAAAGCATGTCATGTATTAACTATGGGTTTTAAAATAATTTTGTAATAAAGAAAAGGCAGTGAGAAAACTAAGACTCTGGAAACATTAAGTGACCCATCCACTGGCACTCAACAAGTATTGGATCTCAGACTAGAACCTAGTGTCTTTCCCATTAGAGTATGGTACTCATGGCAAGAACTTCTAGGTTTTTAGAGTGTCCTGAAACAGAAAAGTTATGTGGTAATAATATCTTGATAGCATTTATGTTTTGTAGGTTTGACTTGTTATACATTAGGAACAATTTCAGTAAAGGAAAAATGTAACAGAAAATCCAGTGGATGGTGCCTGGCTAACCCAGTACTTCGAGTATGCAGCTCTGGATCTCAGGGTTGTGAGTTGGAGCCCCACGTTGGATACAGAGATTACTTAAAAACAAAATCTAAGAAAGAAAGAGAGAGAAAAAGAATGAATGAATCCAATGGTAAATGTTAGGGATTTTTTGACTTACTACTTTCATTTGTATAATGTGGAGTATTTTAATTTTTCTTGTGAATTCTGCTTTCTTGTTTTAGCCTTTGTTTGTTTACTTTTTTTTTTTTTTTTTTAAGTAGGCTCCATGCCCAATGGTGGGGCTTAAACTCAGGACCCTGAGATTGAGGGTTGCATGCTCTACCTACTGAGCCAGCCAGGCACCCCGTTTGGCCTTTGTTTTAATTTTACTCAACACATTTGATGTCAGTATTCATACCTTCATATTTAAAAATGACAAACACTAGAGCAACTAGACACTGAAGATGCATTGTAATCTGTTTTGTAACACATTTTTACCTGGGGCACAAAACAAGATAAGCCATTCTGTATGGTAATGCCACAGAGAGGACTGAACTAGGATATTTTTTCAAATTACTGTGGAAAATTAATATTTACTAAAGTGTTTATTAGTATTAGGTGAGCCCATTTTAAACCATTGTCCAATTTAATCCCAGTTAGGTGAGAAGGAAAATAGGATGCTAGAAACATAAGAAAGTATTCAGTGCAGCTTATAAGAAAGATGGCAAATAATAATTTAAGATATGAGAATTGCCATACTGGATCAAATCTGTGGTCTGGGCAATTCAGGATGTAGTCTCTAAAAATGAGCTGAAGAATGGGGCACCTGGGTGGCTCAGTTTGTTAGGCATCAGACTTCACCTTGGGTCATGATCTCACAGTTTGTGAGTTTGAGCCCTGCTTGAGGCTCTGTGCTCACTGTGCAGAGCCTGGAGCCTTCTTCAGGTTCTGTGTCTCTCTCTCTCTGCCCCTCCTCTTCTCATATTCATGCTCATGCTCATGCTCTGTCTCTTTCTCTTTCTCTTTCTCTCAAAAATAATAAACATTAGGGGCGCCTGGGTGGCTCAGTCGGTTAAGCGTCCGACACTGGCTCAGGTCATGATCTCATGGTTCGTGAGTTTGAGTCCCATGTCAGGCTCTGTACTAATATCTCAGAGCCTAGAGCCTGCTTCGGAATTTGTGTCTCCCTCTCTGTCTGCTCCTCCCCTGTTTGCACTCTCTCTCTCAAAAATTAATTAAACATCAAAAGAAATTTTAAAAATATATAAATGTTAAAAAAATTAAAAATGAGCTGAATGCAAGTATTACTGTTCAATGTTAGTTTTTAAATTTGTTTATTCCCTTTAATAATTGATTGTGAATTTTAAAATTCCTTTATACTTTATCTGTTTCTAGCATTTCTACTAATTTTTCTGGAAATTGTATAGGTTTCCTGCTTTCTAGGTGTTTTCTATATCCATGCTTTTGAGCTATAAGAATCCTCTTAATCTCCCATTGCAGGGTTTAAATTTTATAGAATTATTGCTTTATGAAATTACACATTTTTATCCCAGATTAAAGAGGCCCTTCCCCATTTTTTTTTTTTAAATTTAGATTTATTACTATATGTTATCTTTTCTATCTCATTGATTATTGTATGTTAACCTCTGGGGATCTGCTTAAAGTTCTCATCAGAAGAATTGACTTGTTCACAGCTTCCGTAGATGTAAGTTTTTCATTTTGTGCCAGTAGTTCATTGCTTTGTATATTTTAGTCCTCAAATGCTTGAATTATTGAAATGTGGACCTAATCAGTAGTTCTTTTGATTTCATCTGAGAACCTAGTTTTTATAAATTTTAATGTTATTATCTATTAATTCTAGCATAGCAGGTGTTATATGATGTTACACACTCTGACTAAATGTTAAGCTTAACGTTTTTACCTTTAAAGTTAGTGAAAGAGAGTGGATGATACGTAGTATAGTCTACTGATGATGGATACGTAATAAGTAGAAGCTTTCAGAAGTTTCAGCACTTAAACAGTTTTCTTAGGATATTTGTGAAAAAACTGTTTTACTCATAATTGAGCAAAAGCTAAATTTAATTTAAAGTATAATTTAAATTAAATTTAAACTTAATTAACAAAAGGTAATTTAATAGAGAACTAAATTTTAATTTCAGTTTGGTCATTTTAAAAATTAAATTTGATATATTTTAATAACTAATTTTACCATATAAAAATTAAACAATGTCTCTAAAGTCCACAACATGTATGAATAAAATTCACGAATGAGAAAGTTAATTCAAAATTCCTGGTCTGTATTTTTAGGGAAAAGAAAAATGCTGATAATTTTAGAGAGCAAACTGAATGTTGCCACTCTTAGTAGTAATGTATTATATGTTGTTAGTTCAATATCTTTAAAAACAGTTTATACTTGGAGATAGGGCAGGAAGCTTTTATATTATCTTGGATATTTTTCTTATTTCAAATATATATTTCCCCGAGCACCTGGGGTTGGCTCAGTCTGTTGAGCGTCTGACTCTGGATTTTGGTTCAGGTCCTGATCGCAGGTTTATGGAATTGAGCCCTGTGTCATGGAACCTACTTAAGGTTCTCTCTCCCTCCCTCATTCCCTCCCTCTCTCCCTCTGTCCCCTCTCCCTTGCTTGCACATGGGCATGTGCATGCGCTTTCTCTCTCTTTCTGTAGAAAATATGTATAT